GTTGAGACTGTTGAGAAGATCACCAGGACTCCAACTCAAAACACAGTGATCTTCCACAATGAACAGGCCAACAGTGGATGATGAGCAAGTAGAGAGTATGGTTGCTTTCAGCAGCTCCCTTTTCTCCCTGAGCTGCCAGATGCCATCACCCCTCCCCCTGCAGGACAAGCATGGTACATGGAAGCCCTGACGGCGGCCTCCTCTGTGTCCTGAAAAAGGAAGTAACAGGCTCATTAACGCACAAGAGGGACCTTCAGTGTTTGATCATCACATCCCTGTTCTTCTTAATCAAACCTTCTCTCCTTTGCACAAACATCTTCTTGAAAAATCAAAGGAAGGAAAAAAAAAGTCTGAGGCTAGAGCTTTGGTCACACTTTTATCTCTGGGAAATTGGTGGCAAAAGATGAACACACTCTACTACTTGTGTCTCTAGCCACGAGTTGTGATGTTTGGAGCACATTAAAAAGGAAACATAACTAAGCGGATGATTGACAGACATTGGTTAGAAACGCCTTTGACATAAATGAAGTGTTCGTACGAGAGGAGAATGGGACATCTGGAGTCTTGACTCAGGCTGCATGTTGTAGCCTCACTCGATAGGCCTTGGTAGAATCTAGTTATCACATTTACAAGTGCCAGGACAGACTCTTCATCAGAATATTACCACATGGACTTTTGAGGGTTCTTTTTTAAAGTTTGTTTTCTTTACTCAGATTTTGTTTTAACCTTCCTATAATGCCGATGGCAATGCATTATTGTAGAATGTACCAAAACTAAACATCTTATTTCAGTGTTCACATATAGGCCAGATCCACAGTACAGTTTGACCACTGAATCGACTGAAGCAGGAACAGCAGGATACATGTTGAAAGCACAATATTTAAGGCACTCAAGTGAACATCGGTTCTGAGCATATGTTACTGGAAAGCACACTAAAGAGCTCCTACTACAATCTGTGAAGAAGATCATAAGCTAGCTACTGTATGTTTAATTACGCACTCTGGTCCGGGAGGTCGGGATAGTGTACAGAGGCAAACAGCGTGCATTTCAAAATCTGTTTTCAGCATTTGGATTTTGTCAGAACTGTATATTTTGTCTTGGGTTTTTTTTACATTTCATTTGCTAGATGAGTTTTAAGTTTGGGGAGAGAAAACTGTCTATGGGGGGGAAACGTAACCAACAGTATGCCCATACAGACATTTGGTTGTCGGTCACGGTGTTACCACTGCAACTAGATGTCAAGCATAGATTATAAAAAGCTGCTCTTATTGCAATAGTTTTGTACAATGTTCTGATGTAATAACAGTGCACATGTTTTTGTGTTATTTTTCTTGACTTTGTAATGTACGTAATACACAGCCCTCAGTAGACCTAAAATATTGAATGTATTTGGGTTTACATTCTCCATCGGCCCATTCCCGTAGTGTGAAATAGTGCTGTACTGAGGGAAATTTGGATAATTACATTGTGGAGAGGTGTATTCATAGGATTGTTTCCTCTCACTGCCAACTATTGTACAGAGGTACTGAGGCTCTCCATATAAAGTATTAAGTGATAACACATAACAGCAACGATGGTACTAATCTCCTGGACTGTATGATAAAGATTTGTAATTGTTGTCAATAATTTTTACAGTGTAACTAATATTGTTGGTGCTTTTTAATTTGCAAATAAAACACCACTGTATTTTTCAGTATTTGGGTGTTTTTAGTTGAATTTGATCTGAAGGATATTGAAGTAATGATCACTACATTCAAAGCAACTAGGGTGACGGTGCTTTTGTTCAGAGATTCTAGAAACTTCTTTGGTATGTGGCTGGATCAGTTTGTCTTGTGCTTTCACTTTACAACACAGTACTTTCCACATGCAAGAAAATCTTGAATCTCTCAAAATCCCACAAATATAGGTAGTTTTTTTTTTTAAACAAACATATTTTTTTTAAAACTGATCCTTCTGATGTTTAACATAACATTACGCGCAACTTGTGCTTTTTCATTTTAGTTCCTTAATGAGAACATGACAAAAATCAAAGAAGCAACCCTCCTCTGTTGTTTTAGGATGTAAATAATGAATTGGTCCTTTGAGAAACAACAATAAATAGAAGTTAGTAGTTACCACAGTTCTCATGTTCTTATGGTTACTGACAAATATTTTAGAAAAAGTCTTTTAGTATTGTTACATTTATTGTTACTTTGTTATTATTATTATTAGATGTAGTGGTAATACTGAATTTGCATTGATTGCTTTTTTGCCTTAATTGTTTGCTCTTTTATTTTCAGTGTAAAGCACTGTGTAATTGTTCCAGAAAAGAAAGAAAGGAAAAGTCATATACAAATAATGTTTATCATAAACCACTTGTACAGTTGATACGGGTATAAGAACTGTTAGACCTAGATTTGCAAGTTTTTAACAAACCATGTTATCTGAGAATTAACAACAAAAATCAGGTTATAAATGGTCCCACAGTCCTTTCACTATTGTCTGCCTCTGGCAACAA